ATTAAACTCTTGCTTTTGGGATGCTCTGGTCTGATTTTCTCAATGCTAGTGAGCAAAGGCGAGCGCAGCTGGCATGTCTGGGAGCTCTGTGGCACCTGAGCTAATCCCTTGAGGTCTAACACGCTTCTCTCCTCTCTTCCACAGGCAGAGGAGGGCTTCAAAACTGCACATTTCATACTGCTACCAGCAAAGGTAATGGGAAAAAATCCCTCTCCCCGGTGCACTGCTCGCCATCCTGGCCCGTGTATTTCACTAGGGACGGCCGCTCGCTATAAACACATCAGTGCCCAGATGCAACCTCAAGGTCGGGTGCTGGGAGGGTGATTTTGGAGGCTGTCCCCACAGGGTGCATCTCATAGGCATGTCCTCAGACCAAGGAGAACCTCCTTTGGCCACGTTGCCATGTCACCTGGACATCCCTGTCCTGAAGCCCATGGAGATCGTTCACCCTGTGGTTATAAAGCCCCCAGAACGTGATTGGGGATTTAGCAGAAGCCACCACCAGCAAACGGGAAGGCACAGCAAGACACAAAGTGGCAGGAACCTCTTGCAACACCCTGCCACCATCCCGAGCCCATGCCGCCTCGCCCCGAGCAGAGATGCTCTAGCAGGGGAAACCCAGACCTTGCTTGGGTGCTCAGACAACTTCAGGCTCCCGCCACGCTGTGTCTAGACACTGGAGGTGCCCACACTTTGCAGGTGGTTTCTCTGTGGGTCGCTCCGTTTGCTGGCCGCTAAATGGGCAGATTTTGCTAAAATTGGTTTGCAGCATGGTTGGGGCCAGCCCGGCCACGGGAAACTGTGCTTTCTGACTCCCCAAGTAGTGCTTTCTTGTCTCAAACCCTCAGTCCCAAATGCCAGGACATGCTATCCTGATAGGCAAAAAGGGAGAAAATGGGAAAATATCCCAGCCCCTCCAAACACACCCAGGGCAAGAGGCTGCTACCCTAGACTGATGTGCTGGAGAGGAGAGCCAAACCTGGGTTTAGGCAGCCCTTGACCCTGCCACAAGCCATCCCAGATGGACCTTGATGGCCAGAGCTGTGCCTGAAGGCTGCCAGCCTTTCTGGGAGCCTCCACGGTAGAGCTCTCCAGGGGCACGTGCATCAGCAGAGGCCTTGAGTAATGAGCCCTTTGATGCCCGAGTGCTTTGAGGCAGCCCAATTTTGATGGCCATGGGTCAGGGTTGGCACTCTGAAATCACTGAGAGCCTTTCTGCTGACTTCTAAGGGCTTTATCAGGGCCTCCGCCTCTGTTCCCAACTCCACAAGACCAAAGAAAGACCTTGAGGTGTCCTCTAGCAATGAAGGACGTTGGTCAAGGTCCTAGATGGATGATGCGGTGTGGATGCGCGCAACAGGCAAAGCGTTCCAGCGCGTATCCCGCCAGGACCAGACCTCCCCTGCATGCGGGAGACGCGTTGTGTCAGGCGTGGGGCAACGCCGGTGTTGCCCCACGCTTCTGCTACGGCTTGAGGCAATCAAGGACAGGCAAGGCGAACCCCCCTCGCCGCTCGCTCCAGCTCTGCCCTTCTCTGTTGCAGATATCACGGCCGCCGCGCTGGCAACCGGTGCCTGCATCGTGGGCATCCTCTGCCTGCCCCTCATCTTGCTCCTGATCTACAAGCAGAGACAAGCGGTCAGCAACAGACGTACGTACCCTCCCCTCGCCGCCGGGCCTGCAGGGACACCCACGTCATCTCCTGGGCTGCATCAGCACGGCCTGGATGGGATGAGATGGGATGTGTCCTGCTGGGGCAGTGGGTTTGGCTGCCCTGAGTCCCCCGGGCACTGTGTAGGGTGGCCCAAAGACCGGTGCCTGCTAGATGCTTCCTGCAAAGCTGTCCTGGGAAGGGCTGGGCATGCCTGCAGGCTGCTAGTGAGAAGTGTGGGGAAGGAGGGGGACCCACAGTGCCTGCAAGGCACCCCAGGTGTGTGCTGGGGGCACTGAGACCTGCAAAGATGCTGCTGGGACCCCTTCCTACTGAGCCTTTTCTTCTCCATCCACTGTGAGAGCCAGCTCATTTACTCATCCCTCTCTCTGCTGCACAGCTGGAATAGAAGCTCTGCCTTCTAAGTGATTGAAAAAGCATTATTTATGCTTTTTCTCCCTCCCTCTTTGAAATGACCGCTCACATGTCCGTAGGAATAAGACTGCAGCAAGCCAGGTCTCCCCCCACCGCTGCCCCAGGCCCTAGAAAATCAGACCGTGCCGAAGTGCAGGCGGCTGCCAGCTGCTGCCCACACTCGGCTCCCAGTGATTTCGGTAATTAAGCAGAAAGGAGCACCACCTTAACTGGCAGAGCCATTTCATCAGGCCTTGGGCAAGCCAGGGGCCCTGCGGTTTCTCTCACCGAGCTCGGTGGGTGGCTCTGCGGCTCTGAGCAAACCTTTTGGAGAAGTGGTTTTTGCAGCAGCAGCGGGCACAATGCCAGCCACGAGAACGGGAACTGCGCTTTCCACATCCGTCCCCGGCTGAAAAGATTGGCCGCGTGCCTTCAGGCATCCCTTTTGCCACGGCCGGGGTGCAGCTCCCCACCCTGTGCTGCAGAGCATCACCTGGATGCTATTCCAGGAGGTGAAATCCAAGGGGGGTTGCTTTTGGGGTGTCTCGGACCAGTTTAGCTACTGGTTAGTTCCACTGGGAGCTTTCTATCATCACAGTCTGGGCCGAAACGCATGCATCTCAGCTGGGGATGCTCGCCATGGGCTGTGGGATCTGCTGTGACAAGGGGGATGTGGAATTAAACAACCGGCTGCTGCCCAGGCAAATGCCAATGGTGGGGTGGCGTTTTGCAGAACGCCGGGAGGGTGTCACAGGTGGGTGGTGGGCACACCCGAGCACAAGTGGGGCCTTGCCTTGACCCACTCCGGCAAAGCATCTCCTTCCACTTTCTTCAGAGCCTGTGGTTTCAGTCCTGGAGGAAGTTGGGCTGGGGAGTAAACAGGGCAGAACGTGGCAGGGATGCAGAGAAGGGAGGTTTGGGAGCAAAGAAGAGGCTGATGCTAAAGAAGGGGGAAAGGGAGGGTGGGCTGCAGAAGAAGAGGAGGAATTGGACGTGGATGAGACACCAGAAAGCAGCGCTGGAAGTGGGGCTGGGTTTGAGGCTGGGCTTCACGCTGCCAGCACTCACGCCAACTGTTTTGTCTTTGGCAGGTGCCCATGAGCTGGTCAGGATGGAGAGGTGAGGAAACCCACATGCCCCAGCTCCCCCCAACCCCATTGCACTCCCTCTGCCTGCATCCCAGACCCCACAAGTGTCTTGTCCTCTCCACCCCTCCCCTTGAAGCCAGCAGTTATCTGTAACCCGGCAGAGCAAACGGGATGCTGGTGGCACCCATGCAGGGGGTCCTGTCCTGTTTCAGGCAGCTGCTGTTTCTCTTCCCTCCCTCCGAGTGGGAAGTGCTTCTTTCTTCTTGCTTGTGCCAAGGGCACGCATCTGCCCACGAGAGCTCAAAACCACGGTGCCTTTTGGCTAAGCTTCCCCCACTCTGCGCCGAGCTCCCCTCTTGCTCTCACCCAAGGTGCTGCCACCTGAACCCACTCCCTGCCTTGCATGGTTTTTCTCAGTGCTCGGCCAAAATCCTGGGGATAAAATAAAAATGCAAATCCCCACGCTTCACACCCTCTCCTCTCCCACAGCAACGCCCAGGGCATCGAAAACCCCGTCTTTGAGGCGGTCCCTTCGGCAAGCACGGAGCCGCGGCCTCGACCCCAGCTCTCCTACATGGCCAGCCGGCAGCCCTCCGAGTCCGGCTGGCACCTGTTCTCCGAGCCTGGCACCCCCCTGTCCCCCCCCAGCCCCGGGGACTGCTTCTTCCCGACACTGGGTGAGTGACCGGCCGTGCTGAGCCCCCGAGGGGATCAGTGCAGGAGGGGTGGGAAGGAAAGGGGCTGCTGGGGTTGGGGGGTGAATGGGAAATTGGGGGTTAAATATAGGCTGCAGCCAGGGCTCTGAAGATGGAAAGGACCCAAAGCCTCTGTTTTCCATGCAAAAGCAGAGTTTGGCCACTTCCCCAAGCTGTGAGCTGGACTAATGCTCCTGGTCTGCCCTTTTCCAGATCCTGTTCCCGACTCACCTAATTCCTTGAAAGCCTAAAGACCCCGGAGGAAACCACAGTGGCCAGGCAGACACCCAGCCGAGACCCCCGGGAGGGCAGCGTGGCTGTGGGCAGCAAAGCCTTAAAAAATGAAGCTGAATACAGGAGCCCTGCCCTCATCTCCTGTCCTGGCTCTGCCCCGGGCCTGGAAGTGAACCTCTCTTGTCCGGATTTTGGGTTTTACTCCCTATTTGTATGGAGGAGAGCATGGCTCTGTACTGGCCACGTTTTATGGACTAGCTGAAAGGTGGGAATGAGGAGAAGCAAGGACGACCCACGCCTGCGAACCTCCCCGAGGATTTAACTTATTGCCAGGGGTGTAAGCTCTGCAACATCAACCTGCTTCTGCATCTTTGACTGAACATCCTCTCCGGGACTGGATGGTAAAGTACTTTATCCACCGTAAGACAAAACAGGGTCACCAGCCAACCCTGTGCTACCCTTTTCTCTGCAAAACAGGAAGGAGAGCAGCTCCCTGCCACTGGCGGGGAGCCCCTCCGCCCCCCCCAGCCGTTTGAGACGGCCACGGACTTGCGAGGCTGCCGCGTTTTCAGCTGGATACATGTCGGGAGGAGCCTTCTTTCTGCTGCAATTTTATCCTCGGCTTGGGACTGGGGAATTTATCTTTCAGTTTGTTTCATTATCAGTACTGATTAAAAAAAAAGTATGTTTATGGTGTTTGCTTGGGTGTTTTTTGGGGTTTTTGTTGTGTGTTTGGGTTTTGGTTTTTTTTTTAAATGCCTGTAAATTAGAAAGTTCAGCTGGAGGGTGTTGGAGGATGTTCCCATGATGTGGCTGAGAGCCGCTGCGGAGAGGAGGAGGCAGGGAATCACGCAACCAAAGGTGGGAAACTCTCTGGCTGGCTTCCCCCCATCCTCCCCAGGAGTGTTGCCTTCAGCCACGCCGGAGGACCTTGCGAAGCCCCGGGGGATGCAGGTGCCCTCAGAGCATCCTCCATCCAAATGCAGCACCCTGGCATCGCACATCCAAAAGAAGCTGTGGGTCAGGCTTCGGCATGACTCAGCCCCTGGGTAAGGAGATAAAACCCTGTGGTAGACACTGTTACTCCAAGGGTGTGTTTGGTGTTTGGTTTTTTTTCTTGTTTCTGTTTTTGTTGTAAAGTGGGGAAAAAAACTGCCACTAGACAAACATAAACATTAGTCATATCAAAACAGTGTCAGACCTGAGCAATAGCTGTACCAGGCAGTGTGCCCAGGCAGAGCGAGCATCCCCGGCAGCACACCGAATTCTCACGCTAAGCAGCTGGAGAAAACAGAGTTTGCCTCTGCAATGGGCCAGGGACACCCCAGCCCGCTGCAGGATTTGATCAATCCAGCTTCAGCAAGAGCAGCTTCAAGAGGATCTGGCTGCAAGCAAAGGGAAAAACCCCCTCCGAGTATCTCTGCTAACAAATGCCCTGTTTGATGACAGAACAAAGCTTTGCTGGAAACAAGCCTCTCTCTGTGCTGCAGGAATCCCAGTTTTTGTGATTCCCTGTGCCACAGGCAGGTGTGCCGGGCAGGCAGAGGTGAGCTGAGCAGCCACGTTCTCTACCAGAGGCACCAGTGTGGCATGTCAGGGCACTACGTGGCATCAGGGACTGTTTCCCACCTGGAAAGCTCGCCAGAAGGAAAACTAAAGGCTTGTAGTGGAAAGAGGCGATGGGTACCCAGCCTGCCACAGGACTCTGGAGCGGGGTCAGGCCCTGGGGAGGTGCAGCTGCAGGTTGGCACCAAGGTGACTCCTGCAATTCCCACACAAGGACACCAAGACTTCCCAGCTGCAGCTCACCAGCCTGTGAAGGTGTTTTTTTCTGCAATGCTGTTTTTGGGTAGATGCTTTCCTTTTATCACCCTTTTGCCTCTGCGCTTCCAGATCCCAAGAGGACGGCCAGTCTTCCATGCACCCTTGCTGTCCTGGGTATCATGGAACTTCCAAGTCCTCTCCCAGCTCTGTCTCCTCTGCCTCTCCCACACTCAGAAGGCCAATGCACAAGATTTGAGGGATGTATGAATTAAATATAATAATCCCCTTCTGTGTATCATTGCATCAGCCTAGACTTGTGAAACCAAAGTTTCTAGTAGGTGACAAACTCCCGGCAGACATCATTTCATCACCCAGGCACAAGGCCAGAAACATGCAGGACAGCCTTTCACAAGACCTAAGCATCCTCCAGCTCCAAAAAAGGGCTGAAACTCTTCTCTCCGCTAAGGAACCGGGTCACTGGACGCTTTGTTTCGCTTCCGCGTGGCGGGATTTTGATTGTCACTCCTGGCATAACTCGTGCCGGTGATGAGGTGGTCATGCAGCAGAAACCCTGAGGACAAGCCAGGCTGCTGGGACAGCATTTTGGCAGCACGAAGCAATAAGTTGTGTTACTCGTCCTCTCTGGCACTGGGGAAGGAGGAGGGCATTGCCATGGCAATGGGATTTGGCATGGCATTCCTCACTGTGGCAGCACGGGCGATGCTGCCAGGGTGCCGGGGCGATGGGGACCTGTACGGGAGGAGCTGTCAGCATCAGGTGCTGCAGTTACACAGAGGTGCCTTCTCTCATTTTGGGAGGGAAGAGGCTTACCTAGATTTGAGCTGCAGCAGCAGCAGAGCTTAAGAAAAAGGTGGTGATGCGCAGGCAGGTGCGTGAACTACCCAGGAGGGAGGAGTTGAGAGTGCAAAGCCTGAAGCGAGAGGTACAAGCCACAGTTTGCACTGCTGGTTGTAACCTGTTTCCTCAGAAATGCAGAGCAGGGTTTTGCAGCGAGAGCTGTGCTGGGAGATGAGAGAGATGGCGAGAGATAGCAGGTGGAGGTGGGGGAGAGGAAGATGTCAGGGTGTTGTGCCTCCCTGTCCCACAGCTTGCGCTTGCTTCGTGCATTCAGGCGCATCCCCCCGCAGAACCGTGCAGTTAGGAGGGACTTGGGGCTGCAAAATGCCCCAAAAGGTGTTTGCTCCCTTGACTCTTCTCCCACATCAGTCTTCCTTAAAGGCACCAGTAACAAGACTCGCTATTTTGTGGAGCGGGGAAAGAGCGAGGAGAGAAGCCAGGCTGCAGTAAATGCAGCTGCCCACCGCGCACTCCTGCACGCTGACAGCTATAAAGCAAGGCAGCCCCCTCCCCAGATGGACGGGGTCTCGTATCAGCCCCCAAACACATGCCCAGACCCTGCTCAGCACCGGCAGGGCACTCTGGACGGCAGCGAGGCGACCAACAAGCTGCCCAAATCTCACACGGCGGGGACCGCAACGGCTGTAGCGATAATTACCGGAGCTCATCTCACTTGCAGGCCCCAAAGCAGACACACGTGGGTCCCTGGTGAGCCGAGCTGTGGTTCAGCTGCTGCTCCAGCCACCCCCTGCCCTGAGACAGGCAAGAGCAACACTCTAAGACCTTTTGGACTCCGAGCGCAAGGAGCCGGAGGGCAGGACAACTGCAGACACCAGCACACTCGCCTGTTTGGATGCTGGTGGCATTGCTGGTGTTTACAGAGGGGAGAGAAACAGCCCAGTGCTTCTGCTAAAACCCCTTCAGAGCGGACGCAGCGAGATGGAAAGCATCTTGCATAAACGACGGGGTCCCGCAGGGGCAGGCGCCGAGGGAGGCTCCGATTCATACCAGCAAATTTAGACCCTGAGACGTAACCCAAATGGTCCAGTCGCCAAAATATTGCTCCCCTTCCCCACTCGAGGTCTCAGTGCTAAGTTAACCCCCGCAGTGCTGCCCGGCTCCATCGTCCCCCCGAAAAGCGCGTTTTGGTGGCTCACCGACAGCGAGGGGTTGCCCTCGTCCTCGACGGTGACCACCAGGCTGTAGAAGCTCTGTCGCTCGCGGTCCGGCGGGGAGGGCCGGGTGGCGATCTCGCCCGTGACACGGTCCATGCGGAAGGTCAGGTCCTCGTTCCCGCGGGTGATGTAGTAGGAGAGGACGCTGTTGAGGCCAACGTCCCGGTCGGTGGCGCGTACCTGGGCCACCGCCGTGCCACCACCGACGTTCTGCAGGGCGAGACGGCAGGGGTGAGCGGCAGAGGTACACGACGTAAATCCCTCGCAACGTATAAAATACATAATTAATAACATAATTGTAATACAGAATAGGGTTTTTCCCAGGCCCTGAAGTGCTTTAGGCTCCCAACTCACTGCCCTGACACCCAGCAGCCAAGCAGGAGGCTGCTCTCCTGCACCAGCTCCTGGCTGCCCGTTTTGCAGTGCTTATTGGTGAGATTGGCTGGGTGAGCGCCAAGGCCAACC